TTATCTGAGCGTGTAGGTTCATGCAATGTGTGTTTTTTCATCTGAGCCTGTAGGTTCATGCAATGTGTGTTTTTTTTTATCTGAGCGTGTAGGTTCATGCAATGTGTGTTTTTTCATCTGAGCCTGTAGGTTCATGCAATGTGTGTTTTTTTTTATCTGAGCGTGTAGGTTCATGCAATGTGTGTTTTTTCATCTGAGCGTGTAGGTTCATGCAATGTGTGTTTTTTTTATCTGAGCGTGTAGGTTCATGCAATGTGTGTTGTTTTATCTGAGCGCGTAGGTTCATGCAATGTGTGTTTTTTTATCTGAGCTCTGAGGTCACTTGTGTTTGGGATGTGTGCTAGGTGTCTGTTTTTGTATGTCTGTTCCTGTGTGCACACACATGTGTTTGTGTGTGTGTGTGACATGTGATGTCAGGTTTCCCTGAGTGCGAGGCTGCCTGTGAATGTCTTGTAATTCTTTGCAATTCTTTTTAACAGAATATGGTCATGTTGTTTGCATTGTTTACTAAGTTGTTCATGTTTCCCACACATTTCCATTCAACTGTGTCTTGTCATTAGATGCCAAGGATTCTCTGATTGAGTGGTTGGCGGGTGCTCTGGTGGGGTTTGCTCCTTCTTTCCTATCAAACATTTATCATACTTATCTCTCCCCCTTTTTCATGCTTGTTACTCTTTAGTAACGTAATTCTTCTAATCTTTGGCACTTGTATGACCTTATTGTGTTGCAAGTGCCGTAATACTTTTACTGAAACTGAAACAAAACAGAATTCTCTGTAGAGATATCCTGATGTGGAAGTGATCTCGACAGCAGAAATCTTGACTCTGTGTTTGCCTCTTTGGAAATTTACGGCCAGTACATGTCTTTTTGCCGTTGGTAGAATTAATGATGGTTGCCTTTTCTGTATTCTGTAACTATTTTTAAAATTTATAGAAGACCTATAAAAGTATAATTTATTTTTGACTTGTACATTATTAGAAGTCTCCCGATAACGCATTCATTGTCATGTTGTCGTGTGTGAGACGGTAAGATTCAGTCCAGACTTCTATTAACCTTGAACTATGTATTATGTTTGTATTAAATAAATACATGTATCTGGTAGAAAAATGAGCAACTTGCATTTATTTGCTTTACTTTCACGTTTGTGTCACTGTTAAAAGCTCTCATTTACTCTCAAGCCGTGAATAAGTGAGTGGCAAACCATGATCGCTGATGATGATGACAATGATGATGATAACGGCGACTGCGACGATCAGACCTGCAGTGGGGTCATCCCGGTGAGCTTCCTGACCTTGCTGACCCTCAGTTCAAGGTCACGGGTGTACTGACTCATCGTGTTGTCCACCACGGTGTCGGGGCGACACGTTCTCCAGCCGCTGGGGCACTTGCGGTAATGGTGGAGAATGAGGTCACGCGGGGACAGATACGGTCTGGGGACAAACAGACAGATATAGATAGATGTAGGTGGTTGGCGGGTGCTCTGGTGTGGTCAGCTTCTTCTTTCCTATCAAACATCTATCGTCTTTATCTCCACTCTTTCTTTTTTGTGTTTGTTACTCTCTTGTAACACCTCTAATCTTCGGCACTTATGTGACCTTATTGTGTTGCAAGTGCCTTAAAACTCTCACTTAAACAAAGAGATGATAGATGGGTGTTAGTCCGTGTGTCTGTGGTATAAGAAGTCACGTGGTGACAGATACGGTCTGGAGAACTGACAGAGTATCTGTGTTTCTGCCAGGGCGTTATATCCCCCTCAGCCCGGGTATACTGTGACAGGAAGGGTGGAAGCAGCCTGCCCCCTAAAGTATTGAATTATATGATTGTGGATGGAGCCGTCTAACTTTGCCAATCAAACAATCATAACTAACAAACCCATAAACAGTTATCTGCGGGGTGAAAAACATTTGCAATGACAATTGACAAGAACACAAACAGTAACTTACGCGATGTAAATCATTTGTAATGACAATTGACAAGAACACAAACAGTAACTTACGTTGTGTAAATCATTTGCAATGACAATTGACAAGAACACAAACAGTAACTTACGCGATGTTAATCATTTGCAATGACAATTGACAAGAACACAAACAGTAACTTACGCGAT